CTCTGCCTGCTCCCAGCACTACTCCTTCCAGCTCACAGAGCTCTGGCACAGCTCCTGGAGGTCTGCGGTGGCAGCACACAAGCCTCGTTAGCAAACAATTAATCTAAACATCAACTATTTAAACAGATTTAAGGAATCCGGTCCCTTCCCGTGGTCTCTACCCCACCGGAGCGACATTTCGCCGGCATCCCACGGCGTACTCACAGCGCATGACGGTGTCTCTGATCTGCCTGAAGCTGTTCTCCTTCAGCGCCATGTAGATGTAGTAGAGGTTTCGCAGCTCCTTGGGATAATCCTTCCGATCCACGTCCTTCAACACCGGGATGGTGCGCCCGTTGGCCATCGGAGCCTCGGCCAACGCCTGGTGCATCTGGTACTTGCACCAAGGGTCCCGGAGGAAGCCGGGGGTGATGAGCATGACCCAGCAGTGGCTGTTTTGCACGGCGTCGCACAGTTCCGTCACCACCGCGCTTCCCGGCGCTGCGTCCCGCAGCTGGAGGAAGCAACGCAAGCTTTCGGGTTGAGCTTCCAGGTAGGACACCAGCTCCTCCACCAGCTCCAGGTCCACCTCGCTGTGGCAGATGCAGACATCGTAGCTCTTGGCCCACCGGGCGCTGCCCGAGGCGTTGATGTCCGACAGCGAGACAGGCGACAGGCGGACGGACCTGGCCAGGCTCATGCTGGGAGAGGAGCTGGAGCTCTCGGCAGAGGATGAGGAAGGTGAGGATGAAGCAGAGCGGCTGACATTGAGGCTGCTCTCCACTGAGCTGGACTTGGGCTTGTGCAGGAGCCGCCTAAACCAGCCTGCAGAGTCAGAGAGACCGTAGTGAAGGTTTGGGGGGGCTCAGAACTGCCCTGTGCTGCCCAAGGGGCTTGCATGGCATTGCCGCCTCAGCCGGACACCTCTGGATGGAGACCGCCAGGGGGGATCTCACCCTGACCCCCCAAAAACCACCGCAGCCCCTAAAACCTCAGCTTATTGCCGACACCTGGACACTATCACACTGTGGCAAGCAGCCCGTGGGCACCCTCGTGTTTTGTCAGGGAGGGGATGGAGCTGGAAGGTTTCTCCCCCCCAGCCCGAACCAGCCCAGACTCACCGGCCATAGCGGGCAGCGCGCTGCTCAGCCACCGATCACATGAAACCTCTGCTGCCAGCAGAAAAAAAGGGATAAAAAAATAAAATTAGGAGAGCAGGACTTGCTCTATGGCAGGGCTTGGCCCCAGGGGGGTTTATTCCAGGGACATGCAGCTCTGAGGTGATTGCCTGCAGCCCCAAAATCACCCCTGTCAGGGTTTTCCGCATCCACCTCCCCAAAATTTGCTAGGAAGGAGGGTTTTGACCTCAAGCAGGGCTGGAAGCAGTGGCTCAAGCAGCCCTCCGGCCTACGCTTTCACTGCCCGTTACCGACTCTCTCCACCAGAGATACGCACCTGCAGCGAGCGAGGCCAAGAGTCGATGGGCAGGAGGGACCCTCATTCCCGGCGGCGGGGAAAGGATCCTGCGGAGGGGGGAAGCGGGGATCAGCGGAGATCAACCAGCTGCTGGCAAAGCAAAGGTGGCTCGGGTGATGCCTGCCCTGGCATCCATGCCCATCCCTTGCCAGCTCACACCACGCCCACACCTCGGCACCGTGCTCCCAGCACGGTTTGGGGTGCCCACACCCTCCCTGCAGGTACCCCAGAGCAGCAACGGGGGGCAAACGAGCCCCAAGAGCGAACATGGCTGCCGTTTGCTGCTGCTTGCATCACCCCTTCCAAACTAAAACACTCCAAGTCACGCTGAAACCTTTCCCATACTCCGAAAACAGCGCAGGACCACAGCAAATGCCGGCAAGACCCCGGTGCACAAGGAAACCACACTTCCCAAGTGAGCCACCGCTGAGTAATAGAAAAAGCTCGTGTGGCTTGAATGACAAGCATGGACGGTGAACGGCAGAGGGAGGGGGAAAACTGGGGGATGCCTACCTGGGACGCAGGAGTCAGGCACCAGCGCAGGGAAAGGGGATGCATCAGCCCCGGGTTTGTCGACGAGGAAGATCTGGAATCACCTGGGTGGGAGAGGAGGGGGAGGATGCCGCACATTCACTCTGGAGCCGAATGGGATCCGCAGTAAGTGGCAAGGTCAGTCCATCCTTACAGCTTCCCCATCCGGGAGCAGTTCCCGATGGAGCGGCCGCAGGAAGCTGGACCCACCAGCTTCCCCAGGCAGGACAGGGGCACCCACCAGCTTCCCCACAGACAGAGTGGAGGAGCTGCCCCGGCTCTCCGCCGCCCGCTC